GAGCAATCCGATATAAACATGCAAAACATTCAGATGGACTTCTTGTAACATTTAAACGTCACCTTTCTTATGCTAAAGAAGTGTGGTTTGGTTTGCTAAAGAGATGCATTTATTCCACAAGTACCAGTTTGAGACTGGGTATGAAAAGCAACAAATGGAGTCACCTCCTCCTTCACATCCCATGCTTTTCCTGCCTGTTAGCAAACAAAGGCATTTAGGAAAAGATTTCCAGCTCCAGGAGGATTAGGAGAATTCACCCATGTTACCCTGCACATCCTACCGGGTAGAACAGCACCTTCAGTTTGCAGCAGCACGCCCCCGCGAGCGTCACCTAATACTTGAAATGATTTTACACTCTGTAGGCATCAGAATGAACAGGGGGCACCGCTGCCAGTGTTTGTGCAGGTTTCTGTGTCTTTGCTGAGCAGTACAGCGATATTCCTAAATCAGGTTTCTTGTTTCAAGAACTCACTTAAAGTGATTCAAATTATGTGCTTAGGTAAAACCACACTTAAAACTAAGGACTCTGACAGACATAACTATACTACCTTTTGTAACCAAGTAGTTTGATGAGTTGTTTTTTAAAAAAAAAATAGGTGAGCAGTTGAGATATATATTACTGTTTATTCTCTTACCAGATCTGCTACAGCTCACCTCTGAGCTTTGCCTTCCAATCTGGAAGCAAAAAATCCTGTGCTTCTGCTTTCTCCTTACCTGCATGCTTCCCCCCCTCCAACAGCTTTACTGTCCTGGCATTGGAAGAGTATTTTCCATGCCTTTTGAAATCCTCAGGGAAAGCAAACTTGTATCAGCACAGTATGGTACTGAAGGATTGGTATTTCTGTTTTATGGGTAGCGAAAGCAAGGCATCAGGGTGCTGTAAGACTCAAATGAGGTTTATCTGCAGCACTGAAGTTTTTGAGGACAGAAGTCCTGCAGGAACACTATCTTGTAAAAGCTTCTCTCCTATTCTAGGAGTAGTGTGGGGACTGTGTTTTCAAAACAGAAGGAAGTCTGAGGATATTTTCCTTGCAGCCCCGTATCCTGAAGCATAATGAACTTTATTGTGCTCGCGTCTCAGCACTTCCTCCCATAGCAAAGCTGTGAAACAAATGGTCATATTCATAGTTCCTACTCAGATTACTACAGCTGTAGAGAAAAAAAAAAAAACCCACAAACAACTGCTAGTTATACATTATTCTTTTTGTAAAGATAAAAAAATATCTGCAGCCTGTGCAGCCACAGTAATTTGGTGAAGGTGTAGAAACACAGATATTGTGAGCAGCAAAGGGAAGAAAAATGGGCAGACAAAAATTGCCGTTTATCTTTTGAGATTTATTCCACATGCAGCATGTGGATGTGGGGTAGCAGCCTGTGTTTTTAGATAAGCTTTTTCCTTGTTTATTGTGCAGCAGATGGCACATGCAAGGATATGTGCTTCAGGTACCCCCTCCAGAGCCAGCAACCCTACTCTGCAGCCCAGCAGAACTTTGGTGTGACCAGATTTAGCTTTTCACACCAAATGCAGGCTTGTTATCCTTCAGAAAGAGTATTTTGGGCAAGTACCACAACATGTGGTTGTGCCCCAGGTGTACACATTTGTATTAAAGGAAGGGAAAGAGAAGTGTGGTTACTAGTTACTCAGATTGGCAACCTGGTTAGCAAAAGACTGAATGTATGCATGAAGAGACAAGAATGCATTTATATATTTCTGTTCATTAGCAGTGTTATATAACCTGATTTCATAAAATCAACGCATTTCTGTGACTCCACCGTTTCACCAAATATGGGACAGCCACAGCTACTAACTTAGCAGGAAAATCTGTTTTATAAATTTTCCAAGTATGAATGTGGGCTTATATCATAGAATACTGTATTCCCTTTAACATTCGCCTCCCAGGGGACTCCACCTATTAAATTTGATGTGGAGTAAACGCACAGGTAACGTAATATTCTACATTTGTGCAATACTTTCTGAAGTTGAATAACTATAGCACACTCACCTGCAGTGAGGTTTCCGTACAACTTACAGCAGGATAGTAAATTTTGGGCAGGACACTCAGGGAAACGCTGAGTACGAGGGTGTCAGCGCAAAGCGGGACCACACACAGAAGGGCTCCCGGGACTATCAACTAAATGTAATTTTCTTGGAATGCAAGAGCAGGCAGAGGAAAGAGTTAAGCAGCAGGGCTGAAGGGTGGCCGCAAGGAGACCAAAGCATCTAGACTATACAATGGGTATTTTACAAGTCATCCTGAGGAATTCGGTGGTGTTTGCTGTCTGGGTGAAGTTCCTTTGGGATTAGTCACTGTCTTAAAACTATGGATTTTCCTAGAGGAGGTATTTAAAAGGCACTTCAGCTGCTTGTCGGTCTGTGTTTCCCCGTTGTCTATCGGGACAGCCCGTTGAGAGAAGCTGCTCTCGCAGCGCTCCGAGCGCCGCCACCGCTCCTGCAACGGGAGGAGACGGCGAGTTTGGCGCTCGGAGAAAAAGCACATTTGCTACTTCTCTGCAAAAAAAAAAAAAAAAAGGGAAATTAAAAAAAAAAAAAAAAAAAAGCGTAACTTAAAAAAAAAAAAAAATCAAACCCTTTTAAATCGTTCTTGCCTTGAGCTCCGTCCCCTGCGTGCATACCCACGGCCAAGGAAAGCTCGACCAGGGGAGCAGCGCACCGGGAGCGCGGCTCTTTGTCTGGGGATGGCTCTGCTCTCCTCCTGCTCTCCAGCTCTCCTCCTCTCCTGGCTCTCCATCTTTCCTGTTCTCCAGCTCTCCTCCTCTCCTGGCTCTCCATCCTTCCTGCTCTCCAGCTCTCCTCCTCTCCTCTCCCGCTCTCCAGTTCTCCTGCTCTCCTCTCCTGCTCTCCCAACCCTTCCCAGCTGCCTGTAGCTCCGCTCCCATCGCCGGCAGCTTTTCTTGGCCCAAAACCCAAGGGAGAGAAAGGGAGGGCGCGGAGTCCCCCCCCGGGTTGCCTCCACCGCCGCCACCACCACCACCACCACCAACCTGTCTGAGC